GTATCGTTTTTCACTCTGAGTTTTCTAAACCGGCTTCCTGAAACAGGGCCCTGCAGGTTACTTGTATTTGCTTAATTATTTACTAAATGTTTGAGGTGTGAAATAAACCGCAAAATATGGGCGCGTGCGTGTGTGCGCGTGCGTGCGTGTGAGCGGTTTGGAAACCACTGATCTATATCATCACTATCGAGGATGATTTAAATAAATGTTTAAATGAAACGCGTAGATAATGAATATAAATAAACCAATGGAAATTGAGAAATCAATCAGTCAGCACAGATATTCGAACATAACGCTTAGTGTTGCTGTTCTGGAGTAGAAAGAAAAACAATGCAAGCGGGGAAGGGGCAGCTGTTCTAGAGCTTTTTGTCAGCAATATTTCAGTTTTGCTCAAAAAAGATTTGTATAGCTTTATGAAATGCACTATAATGAAATAAACGTTTTATATTAGGTAACAAAATAAAACAAAACAAATCAAAACGGGCGGAGGCGGGTAGGTGGACAGAATCGGGCGGAGGAAGGTCTGAAGACGGAGGCGGAGTTTTGAGGTTCTTTGGGTTTTTGGTTTTTTTAACGCCGAGTAACTTTCTCTGAGAGGAGCGTTGAAAGTGCCAAAGGAGAAGGTGGAAGGTAAAGGTAAGCTGCTGTCACCGTTTATTCGTGTAAACCAAATAACAGCTTCCGCTGTGCAGAGTCCGGCCAGCGCTGTTCTCTGGAGTAAAATGCTTACTTGGCAAAAGTAAAAGGGATGGACGTGCCTATCACGAGTTTCAGCCTCCTGCCAACGTCTGAGACGCATAAACAGAAAAATCTAGCAGACCTAAAGCGACAAAGCTGCGCTCAGTGCTGCAGAATCTCGTAGTCGGAAATTTTACGCTCACTTTCTGACTTCTTGTACTTTTAAGTGCTACACCAGTATAGTTAAAACGCCTGTAAAATGACCGTTTGCGTTGGAGTAAGGCTAGAAAATTCCGTGTTCTGCTGCGCATCTTCCATCACATCACAGATCAACGCATATGAAAAATGAAGTGTGTTAGTAGTAGTGAAATTAAAATTAACTTTGCGGAACTGTTTGTAGTAAATTTAAGATGTACTATTATTAGCTCTGCAGTTAATGAAGAATGTCTGGGGTTTGGTGCTTCTGTCACTTGATTATCGTTGAAGAACAGAGCACCCATAGCTGGTTCATAATTAGCCTGTAGAGCTCTGGGCTCAACAGCCCTTCTGTCTTGATATCATGACATTTTGATAGGATGGATTTTCATGATAACCAAACCAGTCTTATGACTTTTCCTTCCAGATCTATTGAGTGGGGTGTGGGGATAGATAAGCAGGCTCCTCAGCTTCCTTTGTATGCTATACCAAAAAGTTGGTTTGTCAGTAGCATGTTGCAAATATTAAAAAAGGAGAAGTAAACTGGGATTGACTAACATGGAGAAATCTGTAGAGAAGGTATACAGCATTTTGAACATATGCCATTTTTGGTCATAAGTGGAACCTGCAACATTGCTCAACTTTATGAACTACAGCTTGCAAAATGTCGGTTTATGGCTCCACACTTCATGGCTTTAAAGTGAAATGCACACTTGTGTTCTTCTCTCCAAGGTGCGCTGAAGTGGGACGTGGTCCTCTCTCTTCATCCCTCAACCTGCCATCATGTCTCGGTACCTGAAGCATTTCACTGCTGTGGGGGACCAGCATGTGGTCCATAGCGACGAGGAAGAACTGCATGTTTCCAGTGAGGAGTTGAGTCCGGCTACGGCACAGCTTCCAGTTACGTTAACATTTAGGGATTCATTCAAGAGGCTCTACAGCTCAGAACGTTTCCAGGTATGTCGCTGTAGTCTTTTCAGAAAATGTACCAAAGAAACTGTTGTCTGAGCCTTCCAGTCTGCCAAAGCTACTAAGCTATTACAATGACAGAGAAATATGAGGGTGGGCAAACGATTCCAGGAAAAGTCCATAAAAATAAAAAAATGTAAATTTGGTTGAGCTTCATCATCTCAGTCATGTCTGGACAGCTTTTAAAGCGGCTGCTGTTGTTTTGGAGATTTAGAGTAACAGAAGTCAGGCGTCTGACCACGCCTCCATACACGCTCCTTATGGTTCTCATCTATATAGGTTCCCCCAGTCTACAAACTGTTCATTCTCGTTTTCGTGCCTTTATCGAAGTTTTGTTCTGACCAGTGGGGTGGCTTTAGCTCAGGAGGTCGAGCAGGTCATCTTCTAATCAGAAGCTTGGTGGTTTGATCCCACAGTTACGGGTAACAAGTGTTTCAGAGGATTCCTCATCATTTTTTGAATATTGACTGGATTATGCCATAGAACAGTGAAACACAGGTATTCAATGGGCTATGCAGAAATAGCGTCGTTTTAACTGTAGCAGTTTATAACTCAGCTATTGTTCCATATTTTTCCTCAAAGTGCAGCAAAAGACAAGAAAGTTTAAAGCAAGAGGACCTTATTTTCTGCACAATGTCAGATATTAGATTTAGTTCAACTACAACTGGTTTTGAGCTCAAGTACCTTCCACCACAGTTTTTTTCTTTTACTTTGAAAACTAATAGAAGCTGACATCATAACTGTCTCTGCTTGCAGGTGTTGGTTGTGTGTCTGGTAATCCTGGATGCCATCTTTGTCTTGGCTGAGTTGCTTATAGATCTGGCTGTCATCAAGCTCGAGCATGGCCACATTGCTCCAGAGGCAAGCAACTTTTCTTCACAGTCTAAGAAACATCCCGTGGGTATTACTGAGATTTTACTACACCGTTATGTGTTTTTCAGGTTTTTCACTACCTGAGCTTGGCTGTTCTCACCTTCTTCATGTTGGAGCTGGCTGGGAAGATGTTTGCATACCGCTTGGAATTCTTCCTGCACAAATTCGAGGTGTTTGATGGTTTTGTGGTGATAGTGTCTTTCATCTTGGACATTGTCTTCATCTTCCATGAGGACGCCTTTGATGGGATAGGTCTTCTGATCCTGCTCCGACTCTGGAGGGTAGCCAGGATTATCAACGGTCAGTGCCACTCTGCAGTGTTCACAGGAAATGGATGAAATGATAAACCAACGGTCATGGCTCTGATTATTTAATCAGCTCATCAATGATGCAACAACATCATGTCTCTGAGTTCCTCTTGCCTCCTCTCTTTTATGATCGTCTTCATTTACATTCACATTTTGATTGTCCGCTATGTACATTCATGTTCAAATTGCTAACAGAATACATTTTTATCTTGCTGCAAAGCAGATTGGCAATGTAAAATACATTAGACGTCACTATTCAGAAAGCACAATGGTGGCCCACTAAAAGATTTTTTTCACATTGTTGTATTTGCAGGTTTTGTTTTTTGTTTTTATATGAGATCAAAATGACTGATGTTAAGTTCCAAATGTCATGATTAGCAGGGCAAAGTTAAAAATGCTGACCATTTTTTATTTTGTTGTAGGAATCCTAGTGTCAGTGAAGACCCGTGCAGACCAGAAGGTTCACAAGCTGAAGGAAAGCTATGACCACCTGGTTCAAAGAGTCACTGAGCTACAGGAGCGCAGCGATAAACTGGTGATGTCAAATATTCATGAAGATTATTGCTGCTAATGGCAGGCTTGGACTACTTATGTCTTGTGAGATGCTTAGTGTGTCAGGAATCTTTCACCCCTGCACAGAGATTACAGATTACTGCCTGGTTACCGAAAAGTCAGTTTCTTTTCTGGGACCTCATTCTCTAGAGAACGAGGTCCCAGTGACACACTTCCTGACCATAAAAATACTGGTGTCATTCCTCAGCCTCCTAGTAGATGCACCTATGGTATAAATTCAAAAATCCTCAGATTTTCAGAAAAACTGACCTCTGACCTTGATTGATTAATGTCACTGGGCTACACACTTGTCTGAGAGTTTTAGTAGATGCCCTCGTGCTACTTAGCCTCGTTCTTGTGTTCACAAAATCTGACCTTGACCTTGAGGACGAGGTCACTCAGGTTCTTAGTAGAGATGTCACCTCATTCACTGCTTCAGGATTCAACTTCGAGAGTTCTCCAGAAGTGTGGCAAAGTCAGAAAAGCTTCATACTTTAGATTCACTCCTTCTGGTGTGAGGACAGAGAGGTGACTCTTTTAGTAACATTATTAGGGAGCTAAAGTGAACCGATATGAGCCAAACTCATAACGAAAGCAAACGTTGACCTTTTCTTTTTTTAAAGCTTTCTTTAGTTCTAGTCACTCTTTCATTCTGTTTTTTAATGTTAACGAGCTCACAGTTACAGTAGGATAACATTATCCTTAGTTAGCTTGCCGCTTAAAACAAATGAAAACACCAAGTTCCCAAATGGACAGTCCCAGTGGGGGAACTCTTTAGGCCTGGAATTCCACAAAAACTGCAGTAATGATGGCAGATCGCTCACAACACACTCAGTCCTGCTTTGGATTTCAGGCAGTAGAAGGCAGAACTGTAATTTTGCTGACTGAGTGATGAATCCAGTTACTGATAAGATCTCCATGCACATTAGGTCAGTATCAGAATCCTCATTGGCATTGTAGCAGTAAAACAGCTAAGACGATACAGACACTCAATAAAATTAAAATTAGTAAAAAACATAAATTATATACACAGTATACATTCAAATGCATCTATAAACTAAACCAGTACTGTTGTCTGGTATTTCCTTTCTTGTTGAGGAAGTGGTGACTGTTATTCTGTGCCACAGCGAATATCAGATATATTTATTATAACTTATTTTACTTTTTGTCTGTTTTGTAAATTTTACAGCAGTAATACAGAAAGGTGTCTGTTATTTAGCAATTTAGGCTTCACTCCTTCATATTGTTACTCAGAAGGCTTAAGTATGTGGCACGAAGGCTTACAGGGAGTAACAAGGTGATTCTTGTCTGTGTTTGCAGGCACAAGAGAACGACAACCTGAAAGCCCTCCTCAAGAAGCACGGCATAGACGTCTAGCTCAACAAGCTCACTGCTGCAGAGCCACTTGTACCCACATGCTGCAGAACATTTAATGGTTTAGTACTAACTGCACTGAGATTTAATGTCATCATTCCCGTCCTTGTGGTGATGGAGACAAATTAAGGGACTGCACTTGCATCATGAATTTCCAGTATATACATGTTAGTGATTTTCATGCCATAAAGCCTAAAGCACCTGTAAATAAGTGAAAGGCAGAACCATAACTTGTACATAAAACTACATCTTAATGTGATTTTGGAGTTCTGTATGACCTGTTAGAACAAATTTAAACCATTGATTTCAAGAACTGAGAAACGAATGTGAAACCATGTATTAAATTTTATTATAAAAAAGGGAAAACTCAGATGTACATTATTCACACAATACACAGTTGCAGACTGATGGTCCAATAACAGTACTAGTGATGACCACACACTGTACCAGTGTTTATGGGGAAGCTTAAATAAGTGAAAGCTGCAGTTGGATCAAACAAAAGGGAAGAAGAAGTCAAAGGGCAGTTTGGCATTGATGGTAGGTGTGGCCCTATAACCAGGAAGAGCAGCAGCAGATACTGGGATGAAGGCCACTGAGCTTCTGATTGGAAGGACACTGCTGCCTCTGGACAACAGGGTCTGTGTGAGAATACAAACAGTACAAATTCTCTCTGCTTACAGTTTTTTTCTGCTATCAATGCTCCGACAGAAATGATGTCTTACCAAACTGCTGGTGTTGCTCTGAATTACTTCTTTGATGCTCACAATCTGTGCTTGAGGATTCACGAAGGATCCGTAATTGGTCCATTTAATTTCTAAGTGCAGTGACAATGGGATGCTGCAACTTGGAGCTTCCTACAAGTCAGAAACATGACAGTGAATTCACTTCTGTTTAAGACCTCAGACCTCAATTTAGAGCATCTGACTCATCACTCAGTGCAATGACAGTGATCATTGTAAGATACTGTGCCCCTTGTTTGACCTCACTCACTGTGGGATTGAAGTTGGTCTTGATCTGCACCCAGTCCAGGAGATTGTCCAGGCGGGAGTTTCCAAAGGAAGCCACATAATAAGGATAGTTAAATCCTCTCAAAATTCCTAGAAGCTCCTG